GAAAGAAAAGATGTACAAATTGGACAGAAAGATTGAACGAGTCGAAAATGAAGAAACACCGGTAATAAGCTACCGAGTCATTCAACTTTATTAAGACGAATATTAGTTGTTTTTTTTTGTTTTGTTATTGTTAAAGTCAGGAATCTTTGCCTATCATATTCCTTCTTCTTTCTGATTGTCTTTCTCCCAGTTAATCTGTGAGGTTTTTCTTTCTTTCTATGCTTTTCCTCTATCTCTCTCTGTTTGCATTCTCCCACATCTTTTTACTCAACTCGATCTCTAGACAACTTCATCTTAATCACCCAAGAAATCAATTTATTGAACGATTTGTCGTTTGTTTTGTCTTTCAGGCCATATATTGTGCCTAACTTCAGTCGATATGTCTGCTATTAAACCATGTTTTTTTTTTTCAAAAAACTATTACCTCAGGGCAAGCTACGTTTTAAAATATTTTTTTTTCAAAATTAAATTACTATTAACCTCAGCATCTAACTATAATTTTTATAAGACAGGAGAGTCCATTTTACATAAATTACTTTTCAATCACCTTGTATATTAACAAGCCAATTAATGGCGTAAAGATGTGTGTAGTTTTTGAGGAGAGTTTTTGTCTTGGGGTATATCAACACCTCTATGGGTTATTTAAGGCCGAAATCATATTATGAAAATTCAAAATTTATAATCTATTCAAGAGAAAAACATCATTTCATGATTAAATGATAATTATATAACTGTATTTCTTTTTGTTAAAAAAATTTATAAAACGAAATGAGGAATGAAAAGTTGTTTTTACTTACAAGAAATAAAATTCATCATAGCAAATTGTTTTTATTCTTAAAACGATTTATGTCATATCATCAGTTTCATTATTAAAAGTATTTTAGGTCGTTTTGCAATAAAATATATTATTGGTAATTTATTATAAAAAGTATTGATGGTTGATTTGCTATAAAAATGTATGATTGGTAATTGTTGAAGCCTGTTTAGGGGCCAGAAAGAAAGACGCGGAAGGTAGGTTGAACAAGTGTATTGAAATAACAGATATATACAAAGCAAGAGAGTTCGTAATAAGCACTTAGAAGTGTACGTCCGAACGGTTAGGTTACACTGCGTCTCGGCTGCTCACGACTCTATATATAACAGTCCCCCCACGAGGAATGTATGTGGCACAAGGCCGAGTTTAACGTGGGTTTCTCCGAGCCCGTAGGCTCAGCCAAAAATATTCCCTTAGAACCCGTATAAACGGGTTCAGGGCCTGTCTACCTCCCCGGACAAAACTTTGCCCTTCGGCAATGCCTCATCCGGGTTCCTCTCTGCCAAAGCAGAGAGTTCGACAGAAGTCGCAGTCAGAGACTGCTCTCCCCTAGAAAGTCTCGCAGTTGGTATTTATGAGAGGGGGAAGAGTTCATATTACTATAGGAGGGTTTACCACAACAGTAATTTTATTATAAAAAGTATTGATGGTAGGTTTGCTATAAGGTGAATTATTGGTGATTTTATTATAAAAATCATTGATGGTCAGTTTGCTATAAGGTGTATTATTGGTAATTATATTATAAAAGGTATTGATGGTCGTTTTTCTATAAACATATATTATTGATAATTTTATTATAAAAACTCATTGATGGTAATTTTTTTTATAAAATATATTACTGGTAATGATACTATAAAACATATTTTTATACTTAGGGTTTTGATTTTGTTTTGAGTTAGGTTTTTTTATGTCGAGTCATATATTCTCTCTAAGACCTCAAATTTGTATTTTTGTGGGTAACAGAGGTATTTTCTTTTTGTTGGTTAGTCATGTTTTTTTGGGAGTGGGGGGAGGGGGAATTGCCGGCTATATTTATTTTGAGAGTTGATGGCCTGATTGGTAATCTTTGAGATTTTTTGTTTAATGCGGTCTGCTTTTGATGGGGATTTTGAGTTTTGTATAATGGGTATTTGAAGCCGTACTTGCGTATGTTTGAAATGGATTCTTCCGATATCTTTAGTATTTCTGTTTAGCGGCTTTCAGCCAAGCATATTCTTGGATTGGTTGGTTGAATTTGTTCAACGACATATCAACCTCTATGGGGTATTTGTTAGCGAAATCAAAATATTTTGTAATCAATTTTATCTATCTCAAGGACACATGGCACAGTGGATAAAAGCGTTTGTTAGATACAGTGACAGGACCCAAAGACGGTGAGTTCAATACCCGGTGAATGCAGTGGAAAACTTGGAAAGGAGAATTAACAGGCGATAACCGATAACTGACGTCCATTAAACATGACACGTGGAACTAGCTGCTTTCGCTGGTTCCCAAACTTCATGAATTTAAGCGTTTCACTCGGCTGGTTTCTCGCTCACATCCTTTCACTGTCGAAACTGTTAAATGTAGCCGTCTCTTCTACTCCAATAGACCTTTAAATAATTTTACTGTAAGACGGATCACAAATTTAGTCGTGTATATGAAACGTGGAAGCGAAAATCGCGTCGCAGCACGTGACGTCACTCATGACCACGCGAGAGTGAAAACGAGAAGTATTAAGTATGGGAAGCCGTTAGTATAAACCAGTGGCTTCTGTTATCAATTATAGGCATTTAAGAATAAATTTAATGTCTTTACATTACTTCATCTCGCACTTCGCGCCCCTTTTCCTGTTTCTCTGATAGCTATAATCTCCAACTATTCAAATTAATGTCAATCGACGTCTCCAGTTGCCTATCCCCTATCCTTCTCTTCATACTTTCCTCTACCACTCCTATTTGCTCTCGCTCCAACTCTCTGTAACCCTTTGCGTGATAGTGGCTTCCCGCCTTGCTTGGGGGGAAACGCTTATAAAGAAATGTGTTTTATTGTGTATGGTTCTTAGCATGCCTTACAGACTGGAGATGGCTCTTCTTTTAGAATATGAATATTTCTTATCTTAGACTATCCAATATATTGTCTGGGCATTATTACTTCATCTTTCCTTGTTTTTAGTGTTTGATGCAATTTTTCTAATGTAGGGTTAATGTTGTATAATTTGTTGTTTGTGTAGACGGTCAATATTGTCTGCCATTCTTCTTTGATAAATGTGTTAATGGCTGATCTGAGGTTTGTGTTAGGGATTTTGGTGTTTTATTTAACTTTGGACATTGATGCTTTTTGGCTACGAAATCGACCCTACGTTACCAAAGAGGAGATTAAAGTAATAAAATATGATGTTATTCTGCTGTCACAGTTGAATACATGGTAGATGATACTCAGCTTCTGTGCATATACATATTTGTTTGGTTTGGTTTGTTTTGTTTTATGGCATATCAACCTGAATGGGTTATTTAATGCCGACAACTTTTTTTTTCTTGGTAATATTTTTGTTTTGTCAAAAATCTATTTCTGGTAATTTTATTTCCTCACAAATGTATAGCTAGTAAAATTATTTTTTTAAAAGTATTGATGGCAATATTTTTTTCAAAAACGTATTGCTGATAATATTTTTTTTTCAAAAATATATTTCTGGTAATATTGTTTTTTCTTGAAAAATTTATTTCTGGTAATAATTTTTTACAAAGTATTTCTGGTATTAAAACTTATTTTTACATTTTCATAATGCTTTTTACTTCAGTTTCGGGGTTAACTATTTACCCATAGCTGGGACCTTAACAGGTGCTACCACCAGGGGTCAGCATGGACCTGGGAACACCAGCAATTAAAAGGTGGTTCCACGTCCCTTAAAATCTCCTGATCAGATGCTTTGCTGTTGGACGTAGTTTATCGTCTTACCCTGGACGAGGATGTAGTTTATCGTCATACCCAGGATGGTGCATGTTTCTGTGGACATAATTAATGGTTGCAGTGATAGGTGTGTTTTTGTGGACATAATTATTAGAGGCAGTGATAGGTGTGTTTTTGTTTTGTTGAAGTCATATTGTCAAAGAATTGACAGTAAGCACTTCTTACGCTCATTCTGTAATATTCAAAAATCTAATTCCAGTTGAATTCAAAGAAATACGGAATAATTTGTGTTCCTCTGTAGATTTGGTTACGATTGAAACATTCAAAGCTGTCTTAGAAGCCAGCGACGAGAATAAGAAAAAAAAAAGAAAAGAAAGCACGTGTCGATTTTGTCCGAAAATAACCTTTTTTGTTGAGTAGATGATATAGATTTATTCTGAAAATTTCACCATTGGAATTTCGGTTTATGCTGTTGGAAATTACAATTCAAATAAAACAGTTCGTATAATTTATGACGAGTGATTTTAGTCTGGTTTTAAGAGACATCCATCCTCTTTGGGCCATTCAATATCAATGTTAGTCTTCGTTATTTTTGCATCTCAAAAATAGGCATATATTAATTATGAATTAATATATTTTTATTGTTAGGATATATTCAAGAGGATAGTTTAATTTTATATATTATATATATATATATATATATATATATATATATATATATGTGTGTGTGTGTGTGTGTGTGTAAGTGTTCAATGATGTCAACACCGAGAGAAAATAGTCTGTTTCATGGCCTGAATATTGCGCTTAAGGAATATATTAAAAGTGGCCATATATATTTTTATTGTTAGGAAATATTCAAGCGGGTAGTTCGTATATATATATATATATATATATATATATATATATATATATATATATATATATATATATATATTTATATTAGTTTTTTTACCTATACTCGGGTGGTGTGAAGAAAAACTAGATAATACAACTTATGAATAAAAATATTCAACGAACTGATGTCAGGGAAAAATATCGATAAAAAAAGAAAAGACTAAGAACATCCGTGCAGCTTAAAAATAACCAATCAGCACCGCAATGTCTGGCTCAAGGAACAAACACTGACACAGTAAGCTAAGCTGAAACGTAAAAGTGCTAAATACACTACGTAGAACAAAAAATAATCTAAAGTTCTAGGACCTATCTTTCTAGTATTCAGCTAACGGATCATCAACATAACTTTGGCACCTGTTGATCCGTTATTTGAAGCTTAGGTAGATAAGTCCTGGGTCTTTAGCTTACCTACCTATCTATCTATCTATCTATCTATCTATCTATCTATCTATCTATCTATCGAAAGTGGCTACTGATATCAACACCGAGAGACTGTCTCCCCTCAGTCTTGACCTCAGTGGATACTTTTATATTTACACACTTTCTGTACTAAGTGTTGAGCACTTTTGCCCTAAATTTGTTATCCCTTTAAACTCAATATATATATATATATATATATATATATATATATATATATATATATATATATATCGGCTTGGATTGAGGAATCGGGAGAGCCGAGTTCAATTCAGTCGAATCCATTACATTCATTTATGTGCGTATTGGGAAAGGTGTGAATCCTCTTCTTCTCCCTCCAGCTATGGGTAAATAGCAGGACAGACTGGGTTCTATAGCCGTGGATAGAGAAGGAAAACTCTGAATTCAAAACCTTAGGAGGGTCGTTTGGTAGTGCACCAGGTCTCTGTAATCGGCCCTTCAAAAAGTGTGGATGGTCCTGCACGAAACCTTTACCACTATAATCAAATCTCATGTGCTGTTGTCGGGCTGTCGGTTTTCTGGGAACTGATTTGCTTGACCCCTCATACGTGGAGTATATATATATATATATATATATATATATATATATATATATATATATATATATATATACAAATGCAATGAGAACGAATCAAAGGTAAATTCAAACGTTTATAACATTAATTTAAAAATAGAGCTCAATACTGCAAGTAGAGCGATAATTCATTATTGTAGAATATCCCATTCAAACGTATATAGCACCTTACATCAATGCATTAACGTTTCGATGCACAACATAGGAGAAAACAATATGACAATTCCAGAAAATCATTGTTGAAAATACAACTATACTTAAACATGAAAACAATAAACTAAAAATTCTTGAAGCTATATACATAAAACAGTTGAAACCTAACCTGAACAAAATAAAATATGAAATCTCCACAAACATTCTTAAATGCCTATAATTGATAACAAAAGCCATTGGTTTATACTAACGCCTTCCCATACTTAATACTTCTCGTTTTCACTGTCGCGTGGTCATGTGTGACGTCACGTGCTGCGACACGATTTTCGCTACCGCGTCTCGTATACACGAGTTTGTCGTTGCTTTGAAATTTTTCATGCAACAAAAACAGACGATCATTATTGTTTCGTCTGTGTATTGGTTGATATATTGAAATGTAATTGTCATCTTTGGTAATGGCTTATGAAAGCCAAAAGCTTAGACTGGATTTAAACATGTATCAATATGGTGATTTCCTTTCGACTTTCAATGATAATGTTATTAAACTTATCAGACAATATGAAAGGAACTTACTTAAAATAAACAGACAAAACTTGTCTATATTATTTAATGAAAAATGCATCAATATATATATATATATATATATATATATATATATATATATATATATATACATATCAAAAAATGAAATGAGAACGAATTAAATATAAATTCAAACGTTCATAACATTAATTTAAAATACAGCTCATTCCTACAAGTAGAGCGATAATTCATTATTGTAGGGTATTAACGTTTCGATAGCATAGCATCTCATCAGGCGGTCGTAAATGGTGGTTATAACAATTATAATATTACTTATAAAACATCTTTTCTGCGCGAAAAAAAGAGATTACATCTTAGGTTTTTCTTTCTTCTACCTTTTTTCTTATTTTTTTTCTCTTTTAGAGACTATATGTTCTCCTTTCTTTTCTTTTTTCCGGCTATATCTTGAGTCTATCTTTCTTTCTTTTTCATTTTGAGATTATCTTATGCTTTTATTTATTATATTTTTTGACACACTCAATCATCGAATAATTTACCTGATATTCTCCTTGATTTTATCGTACAAATCCGTCGCTATTAATTATGTAAAAAATATCTATTAGCTTTTCTCACTTCATGGTGAAAGCCGTTTTCTTAGCTAACAAGCCATTTTCCCAGCTAACAAAAAATGGCGTTATTACAACCTTTCTGCAATGTTGCATAAAGGTTACAAAACGTGTTTTTTGTAGTCTTCCCACATCATGCTCGTAACAATGCAAATACATTGCCTTGTAACGTTATATTAAACAGAAATGGGTAATAAGTTTCATGAATATATTAGAAGATGTATAGGTCATTTAAATAAATGATTCTAACTTTAAGAAAATATGAAAAGAAATGTTAGAAATTCTAAGTGAAGAAAAAAGTGTTCTGATGTTAATTGACAAGAGCGAAGTATTCATCTATTGCTACCATTATGTTGTGACAAATATGGAGTTAAGCAGTCAGTCTGTGATGAAAAAATCGTTGTTTGTAATGTTATCGACACAGCATCACACACTGCATTTCGTTTGGTTTGTTTTGTTTTACGGCATATCAACATCAAAGGGTCATTTAATGCCGACAACTTTTTTTCTGGTAATATTATTTTGTCAAAAATCTATTTCTGGAAATATTTTTTCCTCAAAATAGTATAGCTGGTAATATTTTTTTTTTCAAAAACGTATTGCTGGTAATAGTTTTTTAAAATTTATTTCTGGTAATACTTTTTTTTACAAAGTATTTCTGGTATTAAAACCTATTTTTACACTTTTATAATGCTTTTTGCCTCAGTTTCGAGGTTAACTATTTTCCTATAGCTGCGGTCCTAACAGGTGCTATCACCCCGGATCAGGGTGGACTTGGAAACACCGGCAATTAAGAGCTGGTTCCACGCACATCAAAGCCTCCTGATTAGAGGCCTTGCTGTTGGACGTAGCTTATCGTCTTACCCAGGACCCGGATGTAGTTTCTCGTCATACCCATGACTCAGATGTAGTTTATCGTCATACCCAGAACGCTTATGTAGTCCAGAGTTTCGGGGTTAACTATTTGCCAATAGCAGGGACCCTAACAAGTGCTACCACACCGGGCCAGGGTGTACACCAACATCAGCAATTATGAGGTGGTTCCACGCTCCTTAAAACCTCCTGATCAGATGCCTTGCTGTTGGATGTAGTTTATCGTCTTACCCAGGACGCTGATGTAGTTTATCGTCTTACCCAGGATGCGGATGTAGTTTATCGTCATGCCAAGGACGGCAGTGAAATTGGCCAGTTGTCCAATCAATAACAATGTAAGACAACTTTAAGGGATAAATGGTAAAAGATGTCTGTCATAATTTTGCTTCAACATGATTTCACCCCGATTAATGTCTCCATCATTTTGCCACCTTCTACTGTTCCTTCGGTAGCGTGCATGGAATTCTTGCCAACAAGGTCCAGATCACTTCACATATTGTATCCTCTCTTTCTTTCTCTCTCTCTTTCTCTCTCTCTCTCATCTTCTCCCGTTCGGGAATCGCTAAATGTTTTTGGACAGCAATGAATGACAGGGAGAATTTTAGCTTAACTATTTTATTATCTACATATTGTCGACATGTACTAACTCTATAGAGGTGATCATTCCTCCTCACTGGGGGAGCCGTTTCAGACACGAAAGAGAATACGTCTATATTGCTTGACAGTTAAGACCCTACTCTCTGAATAACCTTTCTTTATCTGTCATTCCCACGCTAGCTCAGACAATCAAAATCGACTCCCTTATTATGCCTTACATCTGACCCGAAGATCAAATTCCGGAAGTCGGAGCTGAGATACACTAAAAAATAATAGTTTGCTTAACTGTTGTTTTACACATATATATATTTATTCAGCCATGGCTGTACGTGGTTATGTATTTTAGATTAAAAAACTGGAAGCTGATTTTTGATACAATTAGCAAGAAAACCGAGAGAGAATCTAATATGAACTAAGGGGATAAGACGTGAAGTTACCAGATTAAACTCGCAATTTATACGGTGTGACAATTCCTGGAAAGACTTTCAGCGTGTCTATGGGGGTAATGAGTAAGGCAAATGCTCATAACTCCGCACTTACAGACATGTTTCAACTTACGCTTTCTTGGGAAGCATAAGAGGTAGGTTATTTGTTAGCGTAGGGAAAGTTGTTCATGTTATACTGTTGGCGGAAGATGAATGAAAAAATATGGAACAGTGGAAAATATGGTAAAAGTGATAGTGAATACAGCGGCCGCTCTTATTTTTCTGTAGGTTGGACGGGTCCTACTGTCAAATTTTTGTTTCAGTTTGAATATTTAGTTGTTTCTTTATTTTCTTTATTACGATCACGCCTCAGTTCATGATATATAATTCTATATTTTTGCAAAAAAAATAATAAATAAATAAATAAAAAATGAGTAAAGTAACAATGAAAAAACAAAACAAATTAAATATCCATAGATATCATGGTGTTTTAGTAGGTTCCTCTGTGAGTATAGGGTATTTTGGTAAATGTAAAATTGGGTGAAGAGGGATGTGTTCTTTTAGTGAATTAGTAAATTGTACCTAATGAATGGATCACGAACCAAATTATATAGGTTTAGAGTCAATGACGACGAGTCCCAGAGCGCTTCCCCTTCGGCCTTGGGCCAAACTTTTAGGTGAAACAATAAATATACGCATATAATTTTTCAGTTGATTATGTGCATACATTCCCTAAGAAATTCTACGGAGAACGTGTAGATTAGATGACCATCTCTATGGACACGTTAGAGTGCAATAGTATTAATATATAATATTATGAGAATGCAGTGTGTAAACCCCTCCCTTGAGAGATTACAACACATCTATTTATCATCTCTCAGATGCGTCTTTGTCTTTGGGCAGTGTGCACTCAGAGGCGACTCCGTAAAAGGCAGAGTAACAACTGAGGAAAATTATACTGAGAGGTGCCGGCCCTGCGGAACAGCTGCACGAGGCCGCGCCCTCTCATTGCACTAGAGAGAGGGATCAGGGCTTGCACCGAGGCCAGTGCAACCGACGGTTGCTGGGGCTGCGGGCAATTTTTGTTCCTTGCCCGGGTGTACGCGCTCGGGTGCCCACCTTAAAAAAAGACTTTGTGTCATAACTAGTCTTAGTGTGGAGACAGAGTAAATACCTAGTATTATGAGAATGTTCTAATTGAAAGCCGTCTCCCTTAAAAAAACAAAAAAAACAAAATCAATGTTCGAAATCCAGACCTTGGCCTCACTCATAAATAGCGATGTTGTTTCGCTCCATAATTTAAACTGGTATTTGTTCAGATTTTAGGAATTTAGTTAGGCAGAGAAGTTTTTCAGCACCACCTCATTAATATAGATTCTAATTCAAGCCACTTGAATGAGAATCTCGCTGCTGAGTGTACGCTGGAATCAGATTTTCTTTTGGAACGGATTCTTGGTCGGACTGAGAAGCCCCCAGTACCCTGGTGAGTATATATTTTCATTCTTCGAGTCTATATCAATTACAGTCTTATTACAACAATTTCCCAGCAAGCCCAATCACATTCTCTATACGGCAACTAAAAAGAAGAAAAAAGAAAAGAAAATTAAGCAAGGAAAACAACACAAATACAAAAGAAAACTGTTTTTTTTTTCTTTCGAACCCCTGTTTTCTACATTTTCCTCTTCATCCTTCTTGAGGACATCGTTAATATTTACAATTTTACTTCCTTTATCCCCGGCAACGTTATTTCGTTGTTTAGAAAGTATCGTACATGAGATGACATTAATCACTACTACGCATGCGTCTCATCAGAAAGGACGCATGCGCATCTCTCAACATCTTATTGTGTTGCAGAAAAGTAATTCTTTTCTTAATCTATTCATAAATATACAGTCTTTTCAAAATTATTTAATTTCTTTTTCACAATTATACATAATTATAATTCTTTTCATATATACTAGTTCGGTTAAAAGCCAACGAAAGTTCCTTAAAATTTTTGTTTTTCTATATTTCAGACCATTTTTCTGGTTTACGGATTTATGTCTGACACAAGGCTACAACTATGGAGCACCTTATTAAGACAAAATATTTCAAAAATGAAAAACTACTGCTCAGTTAACAAATTTCTTACACACACACATCTTTATCTATCTATCTATCTATCTATCTATCTATCTATCTATCTATATATTTAAATATTTTTATTTAAATACACATACATATATATAATCCTATTTATATACATATATATATATATATATATATATATATATATAATCCTATTTCAATTTTAATATCTCTTAGATCTAACATGAAAATTAGCCGGAATTCCTTCAAAAACAAACTCGGAGAAAGTTGTAGCGTGGGCACCGTGTCCCTGACGCAGAAATCAAACAGCTATAACTATGAACCCTTGCACAGTCAGTCAGTTATATGCCATGCAAAATACACGCTTAGGCTATCATGGGTCTTTCGATACATGATTAACGAGGCAGATTTTTTTCCCGCAGTAGGTTGCCATTTATTTCTGCGGTAGACCAGTTGCCATTCAAAGCTGTAGAATATGTTCTGTCCTGTTATTTACTCATAGCTGGGGGTAGTGATTTCCGTGGATCTTTAGGTCTGTTTGTACCAGGATATTCGATGTTACGAATTATCTTGAAGCAAATTTTCTCTGTAGGATTCATTGTTTTGTAATTTATATTTACCCTTGAAATTGTTAATACAATATTCATTCGTAAATATATATATATATATATATATATATATATATATATATATATATATATATATATTCACATAAAATTAAAAAATATTCGGCTTTAAATAACACTCAAAGGGTTGATAAGCCGTAAAACATAACAATCAAATCAACAGTATGGAGTGTATAAAGTCAGAGAATTACAGGCCAGACGATGATTTGTAATGGTGGAAGTTCTCCCCGACATTTATCAAACAGTATTTCAAATAATCTTGCACTTACATCCTTTAATATCAGCAGGTGAATGTGCCCTTGCTGGTAAACCACTAGGGATTTTATTTTTTGATTATGTTGTTAAAAAGTGCTCTTTGCTTCTTATAATCTCTGTAAGTTCCTAATATATATATATATATATATATATATATATATATATATAATGCTCAGACGAACTGCATTCTTTTGTTCCAGTTCTGACCTTCACGGCTAGTATCCGCTATGCGAACCACCCACATTCTCACCGTATTCCATTGGTGAGAGGTAAGTTCCACTCCACAAAACAGTTTCGTGGAGTGGAACCGAAAACGCGATTCTCAATCCTTACATTCTTAACCTGTTCAGGTCTAGGTGTAACCATTATATTTCCATTCTTGTCACATAAACTATGCCCCTTACTTTATAACCATCTACCTCAAGTCATCCTGGTCCTTGTACAGGGTGAATCTCATATAGGGATATATATATATATATATATATATATATATATATATATATATATGTGTGTGTTTGTGTGTGTGTGTCTCTCTCTCTCTCTCTCTGTATGTATGTATATATCAAAAAATAAATAAACAAAATGACAATAAAATAAGTAAAATAAATTAACTCAGACAAATTACCAAATCACACCCGTTAGAATAGACGAAATACAATAAATAAAAAAAACCCAAAATCAATGAACCCAAATAAATAAAGTAAATAATAAACAAATTAACAAACCAGTATGTCCAAAATATTAGTTAGACTATAAAAATCAGACCAAAAATCGACCAAAAACATAGCTGTAGCTGTTATATAACGATAAAAAAAAAAAAAAATACTACGTTACTTAAAAATCGAAAACCGAAAAGAGTAAATAAAAATATACAGTATAATAAATAGATAACAAAAAACAAGTAAAATAAATTAATCTAAATTAATCCAAATAAATAAACAAACTAACAAACCGCTACCGATAAATTAACCGTTAGAAAAAAACAATTAAAAATAATCAACCCAAATAAATACATGAAGTAATAAACAAATTAAAAACTGCTCCCGCCAAAATAATAGTTAGAATAAACTGCAGCAACCAACCCCAAAATTGAATAAATAGCTTTAATTATCTTCCCAAACCAAAACAAAACTATTAAATAAGCGATATAAACCATTTTTTACTACGTTAATAAAACACCGATTAAAATAAAAAATAAATAAATAAATATATAAGATAAGAAATAAAAATAAAGATAAAATAAATAAAAACAAGCAAAATAAATTAATCCAAATAAGTAAATAAATAAATAAATAAACGACTTCCGGCAAAATAACCGCCAAATTAGACTACCCACAATTCACCACTGACCTCTATATATAAATAGCCGAGAAAAAAACAGCACCCGTGGCCTGATGATTGCGTCTAGCATGAAACAGCCTGTAGCCTCTAAGTGTTGTCTTCAATGTCCACTTTTATATTTACACACGCTCTATCTCTGATATTGATCACTTTATCCTATAAATATAGCACACCTTTAGACTATATTTCTTTATATATGTATATATAAATAAAAAGAAAGAACAGTAAGATATATAATCCAGTGTTCTTATAGATAGTTTTATTTTTACAAAATAGTGCTCAATGTAAATTCACAGAGCATTATTATTATAAATAAATTAATTTAAAATATGGTTTTTCCGCTACACAGTTCTAACCATGTTTCAAAATGGAAGGTCGAATTTAATTTTGTAATTAAATTAAAGACATTAGTTCCATTTCATCCTCAACCGTAAATAAGGGATATATATATATATATATATATATATATATATATATATATATATATATATATATATATATATATATATGTTTTCTAAATGATGTTGAACAATACTTAGAAGTTTGTATAACGTTTTATCGTTAAAAACTTTATTAAGGAGAAGGATGAAAGTATTTTTTGATTATTTTAAATTTGTTTTCCTTCTTTTTTGAACATTAGAAGTTTTGATTAAATCTTGTTTTCCTTGCGTTTAGCATAGTAAATTTTCTACTCTTTTTGTGTTGACAGACATTAATTTGAAAAATTCTTGCAAAAATCAAATCATTTTTGAAGTTTAAGGAAATTTTTAGAACTTATTCACAAATGAATTAAATTATTTTGGACATTTTTTTATTAGAAAATGTTGGTAAAAATATTGTTTTTTTTTTCTCATGTTTTTCTCCCTTTTACTTAATTTTATGAAAACTTGAGGAATTCATCGAGATAATTTGTAGTGATTATATTCGTTAAAAAGAAAAATCTTTTGAAGAATTTAAATCACCGATTTTATTTTGCAAGATCCGACCAGCAGGTCTTACCGAAAATCTGTCCTGAATCGAAAAAAAAACAAAAAAACAAAAAAAACGCAATAAAACTAAGACATTATTTAATTAGAGAAGTCTTTAATTCATTTTATGTATAATATATATTAAAGACAATATTGCCTGAATACAAAAAAAAAATTCGATGAAAAATTAATTCTTACAAGATTTGTTTTTATTTTTGTACAATTTTTACAATATAAATTGAATAATTTTATGAAGTTTCTGAATCTTTTAAAGTTCAATTTCAGTGAGATCATTTTTAGGGAAGGTTATGAAGTAAAACTATATTTACTTATCATATATTTTAAAACTTATTACAATTCCGACTATTTTAAAAAGAATTTCGACTTGTCATTATACATGTATACCGATACAGAATTTCTGAAATATCGATGTACAAACCAATAAATCTATTAATACAAATCACGTGTTTTAACGGTTGTCTCACCTTACGAGAAAAAAAAAGACCTAATGAGAATTGTAGTCTGCTACAACATAGATAATTACGATCACGTTTGGCAATCAATCCGCCATCAATAAATCGATTAACAGGTCCCAAAGAACAAGACCCCGTCATTAGGAAATGATAGTATACATCATTTTATGTTATAAGTAATATTTATTCCAAATCAGATTATCTTAACTTTAAATTTGCTAATTTTCTTCAAATAACGTTTCAGAAATATATATTTTATTTTTGCAAAATTTTTAAATAAATTTTGTTTACAAATGTCTAAAAAACGGCTGACGTGATTAATTTAACTGAAATTTGCTTACTGGATATAGTAAATTTAATCCTTTAGCGTTCATTTAAAGCTACATTGAAAGGTTCCGGAAAGCTTTTTCATTTTTACAAATTCATTTTAAACCTTACGTATAC